GGTGGGGGCGATCGCGCGGGTAACCCGAGCAGAGTAAATAGAGACACGTGGGTGCCGGCGAGAGAAAGCCCAGAGTCTGCCTGCGGGCGGCGGGGCTATTTCGGGCCATGCGAAGAGCTCCAGTCGAGGGTGGGGGCGGATGGACCCTGATATCCGACACTTCATTGGCCACCCCTTGTTCAACAACTGTGAAACCTTTGGAGGAAATCCGGTAGAAGATTCGACACCCAAACGTTTTTAACAACGCGCCCCCCCCCCCGAAACTTGGAGGGTATACCCTTTTTCCTTAAATGGCATCCTTCAGCCCCAAAAAGAGCTTGTGGTTTGGGGGGCGGGGAAATTTGAGCTTTTAAACAACATGTGTAAGAACACCTCAGTACCTGTTCTATCCAAATGGCAGGGGTGAGTACACACTTTGGAAAACGCAGTGGGGTGGGGGGAGCCTGCATTCAAAGGAAGCATCTTAGATCCCCACCTGCCAATTTTAGGGAAGTTCGGGGGCCACCAGGGTGCACGCAACCCTGCTTGGAAAGGCTTGGCACTGTATATGAACTGGGGGGCACAGATCCCTGGGAGCACGTATATGAGAGAGGGACCCCCACAACTTCCAATATCTTCAGGTGCATTTTGCCAAACCCTCAAGACTAGCCTTCTGCCCCCCACCCATTATGCTCGCCATTCCTTAGTTCATAAATAATTTTTGCCACCCACCTCAAATTTGCCCACGCTTCCGTGGTCTGGAAAGAAGGACCCGGGGCTTGAAGCCGACTACCAGGGTTTTCGGGCTTTGTTAAATCTGGGCCAAGGCAGGAGGATGGCGAATGGGGTAACACCGCTGATTTGCACGTGGTTGTCTGGGTGGATGGTGGTTACCAGAAGTAATCTTCTCAGCGTTACCTTTTAGATGTCTGTAACCCGACTCTCATTTTCTCCTTTTAATCACAAAACAGTTTGGGGTGTTTGTTTTCTTGTAAGCCTGCGCACAGTCAAATATCGTGGGTGGAGAGCTTGCGTTGGGGGCAGCATTAAGGGCAGTGCTCTGTGGACCTCCTATGTGAGTGGTTAGCTTATTTATATTTAGAATGTCATTTTCAGTCACAAAATAATACTTCATCCCACTTTTAATTAGCTCTGACGGAAGCAAACGTTGGCCCTCAGAACCATCAACACCCATTACATCAAACTTCCATTATGTTAGGCCTCCAGGTAGCCTTCTTGGTGTGTCTTAGGAAGCAGCAGGTAGAACAGTGTGTGGGCCCATCCTCCAAATTCTCTGTCTTGCTAGCATTTTGTTATTTCTCCACTTTCTAAGTCTGGGTAGATAATAGCCTTTCAAAAATATAAGTGGAATTTAAAAAGTCCAACGACTATCTACTATTCAACCTAGCCTAACCCTCTGATACTAGTAAAGCAGGTTGGAACCTAAGTGGCCTCCTTTAAGTTACCGGTGGAAACAACATTCATTTTATTATTGAGAGAAACGCTAAGGTGATTTTTCTTTTGGGGATGGGGATTCGTCCTCCAGGTGGCCAGACAGGCTCAAACCGCTCAGGAGTCCTACCATGACAAGGCCAGAGAACATCCTGATGAAGGTAAGGGACTGACGATGGATTCCACTTCTGCTAACGATGTCACTGAACCCAAATAATTTGTTGGAGATCAGTGTGCTTTGCTACTTAAAAAAAAATTTTTTTTTTTTAGTTCAAGAAATCAAGGCCAGATGCGATAACACTATGCCTACTGTTTTAACCAGATTGGAAAGAAAATGCAGGGAACTCCTTACCTTAATCTCTAATGTAATCTCTGTATCATTTAAAAACTTGTCTTGGAAGGAGTTAAGAGTCCTGGGTTTTCTATTCCTTATTTTACCTTAGGTTCAAAATAGTGTGGACTTTTAGTATGTTTTCTATCTATTGTGAGACTTGACCGCTTACACTAATGTATGTTAGAGTAAAGATAGGGTGGAATGGAGTCTCATTGGCCGGACTGGTGTTTCTTGTTGTCGTGAAAAGGGAGTGCGTTGAGTGCACATGCAGACTGCCCAAGGCTTTTGTTTTAGCAAGGCAGAAGTTAGCCTGTAAAAAAACATTGTTTTATTCTTATGGTTAGGAATTAGGCATATCAAATATGAAAATGAGACTGTCTCCCCATTTCTACTCCTTGCTCAAACTTTAAAACATACACACACACACACACACACACACAAACACACACACATATTTACATTGACTTCAGGAATTTTATTTCAGAGTCAAGTATTTCGTAAGATTCCCCTGACAACCAGTCTGCATTTTCCTTCTCCTGTAGTGATTTAAAAGTGGCCTGACCAGAGTGAAATGTTCGCGTGTAAGCTATGTCGGTCAGGAAGACAAGGGAAGAGCAAGCTGTCCTCTACTACAAATACTTACATAGTTACACAGATTAAAAAAACGAACTCTGTATACTGAACACACACGAATTACTTTATGATGTGAGTGTAGCACATAAAATTAATCCGCCAAAAGTTAATCCTTCATACATTTGGGTAGTTGCCCAAACACTGGGTAAAGCTCCCTCCCTCTTTAGTAAAATAATTCTGTCAGAACTCTAAAGGTCCAGGTAGAATATTTTAAATTGCCTATAAAGTGAAAATATAAGTGTGTGTGTGTGTGTGTGTGTGAGAGAGAGAGAGAGAGAGAGAGAGAGCCTGATATATTTATATGATAGCTCTAGGTTTGTGTGGATTCTTTCATGTGTCTGTATGTTTTAGTCTAGTTTGTTAGTACTAGAATAAATCCAGTTAGATGGATAACACTTACTTTTGTAAAAACACCAGTCAGTAGTGGAAGTAAATTGAACCACATGTTTTGAAGACATCTGGTTCGCTGCTAAGCCATTTAGGAGAATAAATACTGTCGATCTAAAATAGATCGTGGTAATTCAGTTACAATATTTTGTAAACAAATCTTTTTTCTTGTAAACAAATCTTTTTTCTTATGGTCTGATTTTCTTAGAACTATTAGATTTTTAGATGAGAGGATGCAGTGATATGGAAGAGGCGAGTTGGCATATCCTTGATTGTTCTTTGAACTCTCACAGGAAAACATCCTGATGGAGGCCTCTACAACAAGGGACCCTCCTACTCGGGTTACTCCGGGTACATCATGATGCCAAATATGAATAACGACCCTTACATGTCGAATGGATCCCTTTCGCCACCCATCCCAAGAACAGTGAGTAACATGCTGATGTTGCAAATTATTTCAGAAGTGCAAATTAATGTGTATTTTGGCAGACTTTGGTTTTTTCAAACACATCTGAGACGCTTTCATTATAGATGACTGACCGTTGCCTCGTAAGTGCTGTTCTGATGAATTGCTGCCTTAAAATAGTGGTACCTTTGGTGTCGTGCCCTCGGAATTTTAGTTTTTGGTTTATTGGTTAGGATTAATCAATAGCAGATCACGAGTTACCGTGAAATCCAATGGAGTTAAAATGCACAAATCCGTGGTTTTGTGAGCTCTGTGCTTTTTATGATGACAAGGAAAATTTGATTTAATGGTCCGGTTAACTAAGTATGGGCAGCGCCACTGAGATTCTGATTTCCAGAAAAAGCTAAAGTGCCCTAGTTCCTACGTAAGCCTTTGAAACCGCTTTCTGTTTGCTACTGTTCCTTTAACCTGTGTGGGGTGGGGTGGGCGGAGCTGCTTTTACTTGAAATTGTTGCGAAGTACAGCACTAGAAGATCGCTCCTAATGAGGAGGATCCCTTTGTTGCCTGCTTTCACTGTAGCTTTTAAACTTCTGAACATGTAACCCATTGAGATTTTTAGAGATGCTACTTGATGTATTTCTCTCATCTTGCGAGTTGTAAATAGTCTCATTTATAAAAGTCAGATAAACAGCTGAAGGAAACTTGTGGTCCTGTGTGAAATGTGTCGGTTGGTGGGTGCTGGAGTGTTCCCAAGGGCCTGACAGTCCTCCAATCCTCCAGTGGTGGGGGTGGATTTTCACTGATCCACCCTCACGCCCCCACATGTGGATTGGTCTTGGGCATTAATTAGGGTTTCCCTCTGACTGGTGCTTCTGAGGATCAAATCCAGGATCCTGAAATGTTCCCCTTTGCTTGCATCCACCAGCTGAAAATACCCATCACACTATGTCTGAGGGCAGTTCTGTCACTGATCCTTCGTGGCTAACATCTAGGAGCAAGATGATGCTCTAAATTAACGGATCATAATCAACAGTTATCAGCAAGCAAGCATCTTTGCTGATGTCTTTAAAAATTTTTTTTATATAATCATTTTATTGGGGTCTCATACACCTCTTAACATAGTCCTTGTATGTCTTGATTACCCATAGCCCTCAATTGCTAGAGTGCTGGGGATATGAAAGATCACAGCCACGTTGTGTGAGCACTGTGATCCAGAAGTTATTGCTATGATTTGTCTGCAATTTTGACCTTTCAGATAGAAAATGGATTTTTAAAAACATTGCAGACAGCAGCTAAAATTGATCTGGGGAGACCTTGCGTTGGAGACAGGCATTTATTTCACAAAGTGTTTTTAAAGGCCTTTCAAATACGTCATGTTAGAGATGTTTGTATAGTGTACATTGGCTCTCCTACATGAAAGGTGAATGAAGTTATAAAACCAAATATATGTTAGTATTTAAAGACCACCCAGATGAATGCTTTTCAGTTTTAAAATTGGGGGAGGGGGGCATCTCTGTATTACACAAATGTATAAAAGATATCTTTTGTAATTGGATGGATACTCTTCTTGTTGCTCCATTTTGGTTTTTTGTTTTGTGTGTTCGAGAGGAAGAGAATGTTTTAGCTCAGGAGTAACTGAAGATACCTAATGTAGTGAGTGTTATATTCATCCTGGATTTAGTTGGAAGGAAGCAAATTCTGTTTAGCTTTTTTGACCCTTGTAAGTAAGCTGTTTACAGTGTATAGGCTTTTTAGAACACACAATCTTTCTGACAAATCAAATTATAACCTCTGGCTTGGTAGCCATAGAAAATAAACATAATTCTTGGGCTATGCACACAGTATGTATTTGTGGAATTCATTCCTTAGCGAGATCAGCCATGGCTTCCTTCAAAACAATATACCGTAGCTGTATTTTAAAATCCATGTGCTAGTACTGATGTCTACAAAGCATCTCTGAGAATGTAGAATAGACCTCTTGAAGCCAGCCTTCTCCTTAGGGCCTCCAGGCTTCTATCCTGAAGAATGCTAATCATTTTGAAATGCTCACGGAATGGAAGGTATCCATTGTTAGTGTCTGTATGAAAATTTCGAGGTCTGTGAATTAAGCAGTCATTCATTGTTTAGGAAAGACTTGTGGCCAGGATAAGTGTTGGTGGGTGTAGAGCTGAAGAAAGGGGTGTGGTTAAGAAACAGTTACTTCACCCTGTTATCTGCTGTTGCGCTTTTATCCTGTTACATTTTAGAGTGTGTTTATTTTAGGCACGTTTTGAGACTCCACAGTTTGCACGATTCCAGAAGCTTTTCCGTTGTAACCACAAGGCAGTGTCATTTTTTTTTAAGGGTCCAATTCAAGTGAGTTGCAATTGTTGGTTTTTAATACATAACAGCTGTTGGTAATGTGTCTGAGATCAAAAACACTTTAACCGGAAGGCAGCCTCTCTTCTTCACCCCTAACCACACTTCTGCCTTCCTGCTCTTGAGCGCTTGTCTTGCGTGCACTCATGTTTCTGACATCTATTGGGGTGGGCTTTCTTGTGGGGTGTCAGGGGCTGGGTGACCGTTTGCATTGGGTGGGAGAGTCCAGGAGGCTTGCCTGTGCCTTGTATTTGCATTACAAAACAACTGCTGTTTTCTCACATCTGTTGCCTGGCAGCAGGACTGGATAGACAGGGTCTGCCATTTGTAGGTATCTCTTGGAATCCACCCCACTGCAGTGAGTTTGGTTGTTGGGTAGGTGATCCCGAGGATACTAACTGTGGGCAACTGGCCTGCAGAAATGTTTCCACTGGAAGCTCATTTGAACAATTCGCTAGGACTTCTCTCTCTTCAAAATGAGCACTGAGAGACAGGTCTGTGTTGCTTTGACCTTTGACCTAAGTACTGTATTCAGAGAGGGAGATCCACTTTCTTTGATCCAGGCCTATGTTCCTTCAGCATCGACATTTTAATGGTCAGATTATGCCCTTCCATGACGGGGCATTCTTAGAGAAGGTGTGCCTGCTAACACCCAGAAGCCTCATGAATGGGCCTCTCACAGAATGTTAGTCTGAAATCTTTTTTTTCTTTTTTAACATTTTATTAGGGGCTCATACAACTGTTATCCCAATCCATACACACATCAACTGTGTAAAAGGCATTTGTACATCGTTTCTCAAAACATTTTCTCTCCATTGAAACCCCCGACATTAGGTCCTCATTTTTCCCCTCCCTCCCCGCTCCCCACTCCCGCATGAGCCCCTGATGGTTTATAAATGGGTATTTTGTCATATCTTGCCCTGTCCGACGTCTCCCTTCATCCACTTTTTGGTTGTCTGTCCCCCAGGGAGGAGGTCACACACAGTTCCATGAAATTGGTTCCCTCCTTCCTACCCATTCTCCCTTTACCCTCCCTGTTTTGCCACTCACACCACTGGTCCTATAGGGCTCATCCGTCCCGGATTCCCTGTATTTCCAGTTCCCATCTGTACCAGTGTACCTCCTCTGGTCTAGCCAGTCCTGCGAGATAGAACTCGAGTCATGGTAGTGGGAGCGGGGAGGAAACATTTAGGAACTAGAGGAAAGCTGTATTTCTCACCATCGCTACACTGCACCCTGACTGTCTCATCTCCTCCCCGAGACCCCTCTGCAAGGGGATCTCCAGTGGCCTACTAATGGGCTTTGGATCTCCACTCCCCACTCCCCCCATCATTCACTATGTCTTAGTTCAGCTAGGTTGGGCCTAAGAGGAAAGCACCTGTAACTAACTCGTCGATGTCAAAGTGAGTTCTTAAGGCACAGAATGCACCTTGGCCTGAGTGGCTCTTCTTCACCCAGAGAGGAAGAAGATGAGGAAGCCTGTTTAATATTTCAGAGCAGGGTCCCTGGAGAGTTTATTAGGAGCATACTCACCAACCTGGCTTGCTCCGAGCCTTATTTATGAAGCTCCCTGGAGGCCCTTGCTAACGTCTTAGAAGAAAAAAGTGCTGCACGTCCTCCCCGCAGCCCTGGCACTTGTGTGCCTGATGGCGGTGTGAAGAGTGAACTCGGCTGGCAGTGCCAGGAGGGAACGTTGCCTTTAGCTTAATGCACTGGGGTTATTCATTGTAGGTGCCAAATTCCCATTTGTCCCTCATGCTACCCAAATGTTTAACACCTCTGAAAGAGAAGCATCTCTTTCGAAGCTGGGGGGAGAAAAGCAACCGACCCGACCCGCTGGAAGCCCCAGCTAAAGTTTCAGTGCAGCTCTGAGTCCTTCCCAAACCACAGGAACACCTGGCGGGCCTGCAGTGTTGGCTTCATTGTTTGGGTTACATTGTGATCTTTCTTAGAATGGATCTTTGGGGTGGGAAAGGAAGGCTGGGTGTTCCCTTTTCAACTTTGTTTTGTTTTTTCTCCCCTGTAAACATCCATATGAAAAGGTCCCAGGGGTTCTTGATATTTTTTTAATTGCTATTATTATTTTAAGGAACTCAGTCAGTACCATAAGGGAGGAAATCAACATCTTAGGATGTCTGCTGTGATGGATATATTTATATACATAGTAACTTTGACTTAAACAACCCCCTGCCCCCATCGCTCACAGCCGAAGTGAAGGAACTGAGGTAGGTTGATCTAATCAGTGAGCTCCTGAACTCCATTGTACATTATGCGAGACAGAGTCTTGACAGCCATTACCGAAATCATCCCTAAGTTAGGGGCAGAAGGGGCATACGGCTTACCTTTCAAGCAAAATTTTTCAAGCAGTGTTAGATTTCACTGCAAGCAACTATGGAATATGACTTGCTAATAAATTGTTGGAAGTTTTCTGATCTCATTTGTGTACTTCTTGGAGCCCAGCAGGTTTAGTTTCCTCTAGTAAGTATAACAAGTGCACAGTTTTTAAAAAGTTTGTTTTTTAAAGGTTTCCTATGTTAAGTTTAAATATAGGTGTCAAAAGGATGGGTGGTAAGACTTTTCAGGCACGCCTCACACCCATCCCCCCTGCCCCCCCCCATGCTTGTTTATTATTTATTCATGGTGCTGCCCTGCCACGTGGGGG